AAAAAAAAAAAAAAAAAAAAAGGTGAGCCAAACAGAAGCCCCAATCTCACATGACAAGTACCTCCCAGTCACCAGAATCAGATTTCAAAGGTTCCACGGGGTAGCAACAGGCTGGGAAATCGGTCTCTCTTCCAATTTACAACATGCTTCTTGAGGACTCTGTGCTTGTTTCATTTTTAAAAATAGCGTTCTGGGACTTCCCCGATGGCACAGTGTTTAAGAATCCACCTGCCAATGCAGGGGACATGGGTTCGGGCCCTGGTCCGGAAAGATCCCACATGCTGCGGAGCAACTAAGCCCGTGCGCCACAACTACTGAGCCTGCGCTGTAGAGCCCGCGAGCCACAACTACTGAGCCCACGTGCCACGACTACTGAAGCCCGCGCACCTAGAGCCCGTGCTCTGCAACAAGAGAAGCCACCGAAATGAGGAGCCCCCGCACCGCAACAAAGAGTAGCCCGCGCTCGCCGCAACTAGAGAAAAGCCCGCATGCAGCAACCAAGACCCAGCGCAGCCAAAGATAAAAAATAAGTAAAATAAATTTATACTTAAAAAAATAGAGTTCAAACCCTCCTACACTGTCAGTGGGAATGTAAATTGGTACAACCACTATGGAGAAGAGTATAGAGGCTCCTTAAAAAACTAAGAATAGAGCTGCCATATGACCCAGCGATCCCACTCCTGGGCACATACCCTGAGAACACCATACTTTGAAAATACACATGCACCCCAAAGTTCACTGAAGCACTATTTACAAAAGCCAGGGCGTGGAAGCAGCCTAAATGTCCACTGACAGAGGAATGGATAAAGAAGATGTGGCACATATATACAATGGAATATTAGCCATAAAAAAAAGAAAATAATGCCATTTGCAGCAACATGGACGGACCTAGAAACGATCTTACTAAGTGAAGTAAGTCAGACAAAGACAAATATATGATATCACGCATAGGTGGAATCTAACTTAAGAAAATGATACAAACGAACATATTTACAGAACAGAAACAGACTCACAGATTTCGAAAACAAACTTACAGTTACCAAAGGGGAAAGGTGGGGGGAGGGATAAATTAGGAGTTTGGGATTAGCATACACACCCTACTATATATAAAATAGATAACCAACAAGCACCTGCTATATAGCACAGGGATCTCTTCTACTCAGTATTCTGTAATAACCTATATGGGTAAAGAATCTGAAAAAGTGAATACATGTATAACTGAATCACGTTGCTGTACACCTGAAATTAACACATTGTAAATCAATTATGCTCCAATAAAATAAATAGTTCCTTTAAAAAAAAACAGAGTTCAAACATGTAATGTTTAGTAAGGTGCCAACGTTTACACAGAGTGTTACAATAAATTGAAAAAAAAAAACCCGCATTGGGCTTCCCTGGTGGCGCAGTGGTTGAGAGTCCGCCTGCCGAGGCAGGGGACGCGGGCTCGTGCCCCGGTCCGGGAAGATCCCACGTGCCGCGGAGCGGCTGGGCCCGTGAGCCATGGCCGCTGAGCCTGCGCTCCGCGACGGGAGAGGCCACAACGGTGAGAGGCCCGCGTACCGTTAAAAAAAACAAAACAAAACAAAACAAAACCGCATTGCTATGTCATCATTCCAACACCAAATGCGAATATATCTTTTTCCCAGCACAGCTAGGATGGCAAATAAATAGTTAGGGCTGCGCCGGTGAAAATGGAGGCTGGTTCATGTTTCCCAACTTAGATAGACAGGCTCCCCGCTCAGGTCAACCATTTCAAAGGTTACAAGCTGAGTCTGGTGAAACACTGCCCACGCGAAACGGAAATGAAGACATAATACAATTACTTGAAATTCAATAGTTCCCCTCCTTGGGTTTCTCACCTGCTCCAGCTCAGCATCTGAATAATAAATACAATGAACACTGAACAGGTTTCGCATGTGTTGATAATTTAAAGGAACCAATTCTCACCTAAGTGAAACAAACGGCTGGAAATCTTTTAGTTTCTGTGACTTATTAGGGCCAAAAAAATATGTATTGACATGCCTTCTCCTTTATCAAGTCGTCGGGAAATGTCAAAGAGAGAACTTTAAGACTGACTGGTTCTAAGGAACAGCAAACACTGAATACAGATTTGCTTCTAGCACACTTGCTTTTCCGTAAAAGCCACATGCACATCTGCATTCCCAGGGGATGCACTGAAAAACACAAGAAATCCACATGTCACATTCGGGATGCTTTTTATTTGCCATCTGTCCTTCTACAACACATTCCCTTAGTGATAGAAAAAGAGCAAGAAGTAGGTTGATGTACCTCATCACAGAACTCCTTTTCCATTATGTACTTATATTTACATTAAAAAAACAATTCAGAAAGAATCCAGAAGGTTCAACAAATGTCTACAGCCTTTGGTTCTGGAAATTGAAACAAAATCAGTATTCTAAGAAATGTTGGTTTCACGTCCACATTCCAGATCTACTCAGCTCGTTCATCAGATCACCAGGTAAAGTGGATGAAGTTCTACATTTGAATACAGCCAACACCTTCAGAATCCCCACCCATGTACTTCTATGAGAAAGTGTCACAAAGGGCCCAGCAGTGCGTTCCCCACGAGTATGTCTGAGGCCCGGGCCGGTGGCTACAGGTCAGGGCTCCAGCGAAGGCTGGCAATTGGCTCTGGCAGAGCCGCCGCAAGCCCCCCATGCCGGCCTCGACCTGCCCGCCTGATGCTGGCCCTCTGAACCCCACGGACGTCTCCATGCTAAGCACTGGGGAGAGGACACAAGCCCCGTGGGTGACCTCGGCCCAGAGCCAACTCTCCCCTCCCCTTCCCAGGCCTCAGCTGGAGGAGGGGGAATTCTGTGGTTTTACTGACCTTTGGCTGTCTGTTCACTGTTGCGTGTTCCCTTCTGAAGCTCCTTGTTTCGGCTAACAGGGTGTCCTGGATTATAAAAATCCAGGCTACGACTAAGACTCTTTCGAGAGCCTACATGGGAGTTAAGAAGGGAAGTACATTAAGACTTTTTAGGATTGAAAGTCCAGGAGAATCCAGCTTCACCCGCAGTGTTCCGTGGAAACCTCAATAGCAACAAAATGTTAGGATCCGTTACTCAGTACTTAGGTGCTGTGAGTGAGACAACAAATTTCATTCTCTTATAGGACCAAAGACTACATTCTCTAGTATAGACTGAACTTTCCACACCAAAGCGGCTATCTGATATTATTTGGGAGGAGGCCAATTAATTACAGAAACATATTTTCCATAATTTGTCAGCGTGATCTGACTTAAACTCCTTTAAGTTTTCAGTCAGGTTAAACATATCCGTTTATTTTCTTGTATACACCAGAAGTTTCACAGAAGCCCTCTTATAGCTAGGTTTTTATCCAGAATGAACATTTTTATTAGGGCTAAGAAACGATGGCATCTGACTGGGAGTTCTACGTCAAAGCCAAGAGGAGGGGTGGGGGACTATAAGGTCACAGGAGAGTGTTTGGAGGGGGTCAGTGAGAAAGAGAAGGACAATGACAGGGACACGAAGACAGCATCCAACAGAGCAGACAACATCCCCCTCCCAACAGACAACACCCCCCTCCCCTTCCTTACTCAGAGAATCTCAATCTCATTCAGCGTAATATGCCTACGTAGCTAAATATTTTCCTTCCCAGACTCACACGCAGCTGGGGGCGCCACGCAACAGAAGTCTAGCCAGTGGAGGAAAGCCGAGCATCTCGGGGAAAGCTTTGCCTTCCCGACACGGACACTGCGCCTTGTCATTTGCCTCTTCCTCCCTCTTTCTGCTTAGAAAGCAGATACCGGACCTGGAGGTTCAGTGAGCATCTTGTGACTACAAGGCAGTCACCCAAAGGAGAAAGGGTAAGGATGGTAGGAAAAAACTACCAAAGACTGTGAGTCGTCGACGATACTACGGAGACAGTCCTGAGTGCCCACCTCCAGGTTTTTTATGCAGCTCTTCGTTGTGTGTTCAGTTTTCTATTACTTGCAGCCAAATGCACACCTGATACATCAATATCCAATGATGAGAATGAAAAGGATGAAGATGACTCGGTGAAAAGGGAAGAACAAAGATGAAAGTGAAAGGGCAAGGGGGATCAGTCTTACAGAGATCACCCAGTGGACCTAAGAAACACAACTTCTTGCCCACGGACAAGACAGAAGTCCTGACTAAAAGAACAGATGTATCATAACGTTCAGTTCAAAGACACCCAATGCTCAAATTGGCCGTCTCGAATTTTACTCTGTCCTTCTGCGCTTTGACTGCTAATATGAAAGTGCATGCTTACACATTAAAGCTGGACGTTCTGCATCCTACAGAGAAGAGAATGGAACAGATTTAGAATCAATTTAGCATTTCTCTTGCAACCCATTTGGAGGAGTTCCCACAGAGAACTCGTCTGCCTCACCCTCTCGGCAGCCATATTTAATAGGATCTGAGAGGAAAAAGTAGTAACACTGGATAGCCTGTTTTGACTCTCGTATATGCTATTTGGAAATTCAGCCACTACAGCAAGCTGGCAGAATATAGGACATGGCCCTTGGAAAGCGCTAGATATTTAAGAATATTTAAGAATGCACAGGCAACAGCAACAAATAAATGAAGCAAATGCGATGGGGATGCAAATCAATGATGGCTACGTATACCCTCAAAATAAGCACGAATCCCTTTTCGTGGCAGGAAACAGTGCAGCACTAAATGCTCGACAGTTCATCGCGCAGTCCCAAGACACTGGTCTTGCACAGAGAAATGATTTCTTCATACTCAACGTGGCAGGTAACCCAATGTTGGTTCAGAAAGCAATGGATAAGCAAAAGAACAGGCTGAATACAGGAGCCAGCAATGGCTGGTCACGAGTGAACCCACTAGCATACTTGCAGGTTTCACTATGTTCACATTTAATTTTTCTTTTCCAACAAAGTAAGTGCAAATATCTTTAATCTGATTCAGTAACATAGCAGCCAAACCTCAGGCACCAATAAATAAGGACGCTGACACGCCAATACCCCTTGGCCTTTCAGACTCAAAGCTTCACCAACACCAGCCTTCAACTGAAGGGGCAAATGTTTCTTGACTCAGCAATGGTGTTCCATGTCCTTGTACAAACCATGTCGTTTACACCCATCCACATGCCCCCACAGTAGTTACTAAACTCATAACACAGCTTGAAACTCATAAGGGGTTAAAGCTATAAAATGCCTACTCGCCAATGTATTTTTTCTAAGTTTCATTCTTCTTCCCTTCCTTTTAAACAAAGCTTTTGTTTCCGCTGCCCCCAGTGTACGACCATTCATTAGGATGACATATCATTTGTTTATTTCTTTTCAAACGACACAGTTGTATTTTTCTCAAAGAAACTGCCATCTTGTTTCTAATTAAACATGATGGATTCAGGGTCCTGGTTTGCCATCTGGGCCATATGCCTCAGAACGTCCTTTTTCGTGATGATGCCAAGAAGTCTCCTGGAGAAGAAACAAAATAGGGAAAAGAGGTCAGCCTCGCAATACCGACTCAGGCCTGTCCCTAATCCCCAGCGCCCTTTCCACCCAGGCACACGGAGAGACATTTCCCAGCCTCCCTTGCGGATGGGTGGGTCTAACTGAGTGAGCTCTGGCCAATGGCGTGTGGGTGGAGGTGAGAGATACCCCTCCCGAGTCACCTGCACATTTCCTCTCTCTCCTCATCTGCCAGCCCAAGACAGAAGAGCCAGTGAATGACTCTGAGGTCACAGAGGACTCAATCAGGAGTCACCAGATTCAAAGACCTGGGTTCTGGAATGGCTGTGTGGTGCAAAGCCCACACCTGCTGCAACTCACACTGGATGTGAGTGACGTGGGAGAAAAATTAACCTTTATCGTGTTTGGCCACTGAGATTGCAGGCTTGTTTATTACAGCAGTAAGCCTACGATGACTAATATGCTCCCCTAAATTTCAAAACTATAATCAACTAAAAAGGGCTTACAAAAGCCATTGTCAAAACTTGATGACAGCGCAGAAATTCCAAGTGTGAGGCATTTTAAGCATAAGAAATTTTAAGTATAAGATAATAATTGGTTCTATTTTAAATCTATCTTACTGGAAGGGTAAAGTTTGACATTCACCTCTGACCATATATGTAAATTACCTGCTCTTCCAAAATTCTATGGCTTTCAACTTACAAAAATGATGCCACTTCTCAGGGACCCTGGTATAGAGCCACCTATACTGTATACTGCCCAACTCCAGGGAGCACCATTGACAAACTCGACAACGTAAACAGTGCCCCTGGATCATGCCTCACTCTGGATTTTATTAAATACTTAAATAACCACCCGCTGGGGTCAAATCATGCCCCCCGGGGAAAGTGAAAGGTTTGAAAGAAGGGGATGTACACAAGTTCTTCACAGAAAAGAAGTTCCACTGCCAAATTAGTTTGCAAAATTGCTGCTCGCCATGTCTCCATGTCTCCCCACGTCACCATGTCTCTTGTCTTCCCCCAAGAAGAGGAGAATAGAGAAGTAAAGGACGGCAGACGCTCTCTGGAATACTGTACGGCTATTGAAATGACAGGCTTCTACTCTGTATCTGGGCAAAATGATGATATACCAAAAAAAATCAGAAAACACAACTGTAATACACCGTCATTCATTTAACTGAAGCCAAACTATGAAACTCATCTCTTAGTAATAGGAAGTGAACATGAAGAGGGGCCGCAAGTACCTGGAGCAGTACTCCAGTCAGTGACAGCTGGTGAGAGGGACACTGGTTAGTGAAACTGTCAGCCAGAATTCTCACTTCCTTGCCCCTGACCACGCTGGACCTTAACCTTGAAAGAGCGATTGATTTCTTGTGTTAGTTTCCCCATCTATCACACCGGGGGAGACAGCAGATACTACCTCTGCCCCTCCATCTATAGGAACATCTTCAGGTAATAGGAAAATAGCAAAAAGGGCCTTTAAAAGCATGCTAAACAAAAAGAATAATGACAATACAGATGACAAAACACTGAAAGAAAGCACCATGACTAACATGATAATCAAAAAAAAAAAAAAAGATGGGGAAAAAATGTAGCAAGCACAAAAGAATTAGAAAATCAACATTTTGCAACGCCCAATGTAATAATTAGCTTAGCCAATAATTATTGATGGATTCCAAAACCATCAGGTAAATGGTTGCTGGAAAACAGAAAATTCACATGGTCTCAAAGTATCCCTCCACAGATTACGTACAAAGAAAAACATGTCCCTTTACTACAGAGGTTTCTGGCCATCCCCACCTCATCCCAGGGATGGAGCTTATCACCAACAAAGTCAGAAAAGCTGGCATTATGACATCATCTACATTGGAACACTGCCCAAAACTCGCAACTACTTAAACCAAATCAAACCATGAGGAAGCAATCAATCAAATTCAGAGTGTGGGACTACTGGTCTGGATTCTTAAAAAAAAAAAAAAAAAGAAAAATCTATGTCATAAATATCAAACAAAAAAGGCAGGGAGCCGTTCTAGATAAAAAACAAAAGAGGCAAAACAACCAAATGCGATGTCTGAACCTTGAAGGAACTCTGGACTGAAATTTGATATGAACTAGGTATTAAGTGACATACTGAGTTACCATTAATTTTGTGTAATTATGCCTCAGTGGTTATGTAAAAGAATGTCCTTAGTCTTAGAAGATGTACGCAGTCATACATAATTGGCAAAACCTGGAAGCAACCAAGATGTCCTTCAGTAGGTGAGTAAATATACAAACTGGTCCATCCAGACAATGGAACATTACTCAGCTCTAAAAAGAAATGAGCCATCAGGCCAGGAAAAGGCATGGAGGAACCTGAAATGCACGTCACTAAGTGAAAAGTGTAGTCATCTGAGAAGGCTACACACTGCGTGATTCCAACTCTAAGACATTCTAGAAAAGGCAAAATGATGGAGACAGTAAGAGGATCAGTGATTGCCAGGAGGTGAGGGGAGGGAGGGACGAATAGGCAGAGCACAGAGGACTCTAAGGGCTGTGAAACTGTTCCGGATGATACTACAATGGTGGATACATGTCATTATACATTTGTCCAAACCCACAGGACGTACAACACCAAGAGCGAATCCTAATGTAAACAATAGATCGTAGTTATTAATAACATCTCAATACTGGCTCATCAACGGCAACAAATATAACACACAAATGCAAGACTTGACAGTAAGGGCAACAGAGAGAGGACCAGAGAGGGAACTCTGTACATTCTGCTCAATTATGCTGTAAACCTTAAACTCCTTGAAAAATAAAGTCTATTAATTCAAGAACACAAAATTCTTAGGGGGAAGAAAGTGGTTGCCTGAAAGGGGGTGGGTGGCGAAGGAGGACAGAGCCAGGAATTGTTCCTTCCAGCTGTTTAGAGCTACTTGACTTTAACAGTGCTCACAGATCACTTTAAACACATTTCTAAATTTTATAACAATACAGTAAAATCAAAGATGCCCCATAAACCAAGATGCTGTTATACTAAACCTGCCAAGCTGAGTCTGTGTCCTGACAGAGTTAGCTTGGTCTGCTGTAACAAAGCACCATACACTAGGTAGGTGGCTTAACAACTGAAATGTATGTTCTCCCAGTTCTGGAGGCTGGAAGGCCAAGATCAAGGTGCTGGCAGGTTTGGTTTCTCCAGAGGCCTCTCTCCTGGGCTTGCAGACACCACCCTTTTGCTGTGTCCTCACACAGCCTTTTTCTCTGTGTAAGCATCCCTGGTGTCTCCTCTTTTTTTTTTTTTTTTTAAATATTTATTTATTTGACTGCACCAGGTCCTAGTTGCATGGCACACAGGATCTTAGTTGCAGCATGTGGGATCTAGCTCCCTGACCAGGGATTGAACCCAGGCCCCCTGCATTGGGAGCCGGAGTCTTAACCACTGGACCACCAGGGAAGTCCCTCTTCCTCTTCTTATAAGGAGACGGGTTCTACCGGATTAGGACCCACCCTTATGACCTCATCTAACCATAGTTACCTCCTTAATACCTTACCCCAAAATACAGTCACATTGGGGGTTAAGGCTTCAAAATATAAATTTTGGGGGGGAGGGGGACACAATTCAGTCCATAATAAGGTTTAATGCAATTCCTATCAAAATCTGTCCCCTGCATCGGCAGGCGGACTCTCAACCACTGCGCCACCAGGGGAGCCCCTCCTCTTCTTTTAAGGACACCAGTCCTATCAGATTAGGGCCCCACTTTTATGACCTCATTTAACCTTAACTACCTCCTTAAATACCCCATCTCCAAAGACAGTCATATTGGAGGCTGGAGCTTCAACATATGAATTCGGGGACGGGGCCGGGGGGACACAGTTCAGTCCACAACGGTCCTTCAACTCCCTTTAAAATCAAAAAGGAATAGTTAGAAGGCAAGCAGCTTACGCCTATAATACACCACTAAGAAAGCTGCGATCATCAGAGAAGTGGCAGCACGTGAAAAGGTGAAACACCTTCTCATCCCTGGTGGGAGGAGTTCCGTGGCTGGCGGCCACCAACTGGCAGACACTCCCTCAGCTTAAAAGGCTCTTTTGTTCTTGTGGACATTTCTTTTCTACTTGAAAGCCTGGCTGAGGACACTGCCCCCCAGAACACCTGGGGAACACCACTCAAAGTGGATGACGTCCATGTTCCTCGGTAGATGACAAGCTCCTTGATTTTTTTTTTTTTTTAAATGCTTTTTGAGCCTCCTCCGGTTCTCCCTCACATAGGTGCTCAGTAAGACGCTGATGAAACCAATGCCGCTTTGAGAAAAAATGACTTGTTAACACACACAGACACCCCTCCCATATCTATAAAGCCTGGGTTTTGTTCCCTTACAGTCATCCTGGACATAATATCAAAAGGTCAGGCACATGCACTCCTGACAACCCCATCTCAAAGCTTGGTAACTATGTCTGAAAGTCAAGCTGGTTATAATGGCTCTGGGGAAACATGAATTCAGAAGCTGCCTTGGGTTCTGGCATAAATTGTGCCTGGCCTGCGACAATAAGTATCAGAAAAGAAGAAAGTTGAACATCCTCCCAAAAGGAGGCAGCATTAAATCCAGCGGGGTTTGTTAGTGGTATGAAATGTCCTACTTGATATAAATCAAGTGTTTAAACTTCCAGTCCCTTTGGGTGGCAGTTCAAGTGAACCTGGGGAATGATAAACAGTCCATCTATGACCATGAACATAATTCAGATTAGAGCAGCTGGGCTCTTGGGAGAAGGCCACGCCCCAAGGCCCACCTAGCAGGGCTTGGCGGAAGCTGACACCGTCTCCCCCGCTCGCTTTTTCTTTCTAGATCCTCTGTGGAGAAAATCCCAAATTCACTCTTGGCCACTGGAGGCTTCCTGGACTTCCTGCCTGCCCTGGACTCTGGCCTTAGGGAGACAAAGACTTCCCTGGCTCCTGGTCTGCTTTCACGATCACCTGGGAGCCCAGGCCCTGAGAAATCCTGCAGACAACGCGAGTCAAGGGTACGAGCTCAAGTGCTCGGCCTAGAGCAGGGAAGGCACATGGCGACGGAATACATCAAAAACGTGAGCTGGCTTGAGCCGTGCCTGCCCTGGCTCAAAGCCCGAGAAGATGAAAGGCCCCGCAAACAAGGATCTCTTGCCAGCACTAATGTATCAGCATCTGCGTTTGTTTAAAATACGTAGAGCGAGAGAGAGGGTGCGATTGTTTTCTCGCAGAACATTCGGAGCCAATTTCGACACCCAGATCTTCACAGGAAAACCTCACGGGGCTCCGTGAGGTGTGAGCGGGCGTTGAGCGCAGCATTGCCTGCCAGAACTGGAGATTCCAATGATAACTGACATTGGATTATTATTTTAAAGGAAAAGAGAAACTGCTATACACTTGAGACGACACGGGTGATCACAGTGCTATTTCTGCCAAGCGCTGGAAATTCAGGTTCATCGGTGGGCTTCAGCAGTTTGCAAAGTGGGGACCGCAACCAGCAGCAACCCCCGGGAGCTGGTTAGAAATACACATTCTCGGGCCCCCTCCCAGGTCGGAGGGGTCAGTAGCTGCAGGGGGGCCCGGCACTCTGGGTTTAACCTAGAGGTTTACTCCTCCGGGGGATTCTGACGCCTGCTCAAGTTTTGAGAACCACTGAGTTCCTTTAAAAACCACCAGCAGAAATGACCTCTAGCCTCAAACACTTATTTATTTGTTCCTTATTGATTGCCCCTCTCCATGTGCAAGGCATACCCCAGCTGCAGTCAGAGCTAAGAAGGACACTCGTCCCATCGGCCGAGAGTTCTCCGGGTCAAGTGCAAATTCAGCTCCTTGCAGGGCGGCAGGAAGAAAGCCTGGCACCGATGTCTCCACAGCCCATACCCCACCTCCCACACCCCAGCCCATAAAGGAATCCTAGGTTCCAGGCAACCTGGACCCAGCCAATCTCTTGCTCCACCCAAGCTTCTGAGGCCCTGGAATTTAGGGAGAGCCCCTGAGGCCAAAGCACGGCCCACGGAGCACTGCACCTCTCACATCATCACGAACCTTTGATGTCTGCAGTGCTGGTTTCCTGGTTCGTGATAACACAGAGCGAAAGCAATATTGCTGCGGCGGAGACGATGCCATGGGCCACCAAATCCCTCGGCTCTGCGATAACGTTTGAACACGTGAAGTTGTTTCGAACCGACCGATGTATTAGGGAGTAATTTGAGCAAACTGTGAACCTCACGTTTGCTTATGGGTGATTTCATCCACAGGAAAGTCCAGGAGGACAGAGAAAAATGCCCCGGCCGGGAGCACCCGGGGGCATGGGAATACTCAGCCGCAGCCCTCGCGATGCCCGCTTCCACAAGCCAACTGCGGGGCTTTCTCAAGGTGAAGGGACAATAAACGGCCTTTTTGATACACTTCTCAACCATTTAATGTGTGCAAATGTCTGACTGCTTTTATGAGATTCCCACCTCTGTCTTTTTTGATCTGTCACTGACGAAGTGTTCGAGCGTTGTGCGCCTAACCCTATTTTTCTCATCAGCCCTGAGATCCTTGCTGCTCGTTTCTGCAGAGCGCCGTGATGTGGAGGAATGTGTCGTCACATCGCAACGTCACAGCAGGACAGACCGAACCTTCTCCCAGAGCCAGGACCACTGCGGGTGGCGGCGGAGCCCCAGCCCCTCCCCGTGGGCTCCTCCCCTTGGGACTCCACCTTCAACCTCCGGACAGACACAGCAGCCCCACCTGGAAGCCTGAGTCCCAAGCTCGCTGGCAACTCCTCCTCCTGGGCTCACCTACTGACATCTCTTCCGAGCACTGCCACCCACCCCCCTGCCCCGGTCCCCGCCAGTCCCCCGAGGGCTGAGCCCGCGTCCCCTTCATCTTGTTCCCCCCAGGGTCCCGCCACTCACCCGCTCCGCGTCACCAGGCACTGGCGGAGCCCCAGCTTCCGGAAGATGTCCACCACCGTCTCCATGGGGGTGTGGTCCGTGACGGTGAAAGGGCTGAGGTTCAGGACGCGCCGCAGCTTCAGGGGCTGCGGGCTGTTGGCTGGCAGCTCAGGGGGCTCCTCGGTGAAGTACATGACCGAGTCGCTCACGATGCCCTCCTGCCTCTGTCTGGCGTTCTCTGGAATGGGCGAGCAGGACGGTGAGCCTCACGAGACTCCCTTGCGGAGTCCCTTCGCCCAGCCCAGCCCAGCCCAAGCCACAGCAACACGCGACTTCCCTCCCCCAGCAGCCTAGAATCCCACAGAGGAGGGGCGCAGAAGGCAGACTCTACATTCTTAACGAGGAGCTTCAGCCAAACATCTGTGAAACTGGCATCTCTCTCTCTCAAGCTAACGCTGTGCGAGACCCCCCTGCTGCGACCTGATCATTCACTGCCAAAGTCCTGCAACGCGGGCCCGACCAGGCTACTTCCTCTAGCGAAACGCCCTGCTTCTGCCTGGAGGCCAGGGCACCCAGCTGGCCCAGGGCCTGCCGCCCTTGCTTTCCTGACACACCTTCACCTCATCAGGGGCTGAGGTTTGACGTGAAAAGAAACCTCACTTAGCTGCTCAATGACCTTGGTTTTTTTAAAACAAACTAACGTATAACTGGCCCAGATGGCATTATAAATCCTGAAAGGAACAAGAAACCAAGAGGACCATCCTAGGCTCACAGCCCAGAAACGCAGTTCAGTCTAACTATGACCCTTGGGACCAAAGAAATAACCCTAGAAAAGCTGCATTCCCCCCACGCCTCTCTTAAATATGGGCCATTTGGTGGATTTCTCAAAGAAAGATAGTAAAACTGTTATGGTAACAATTAGCCTATTTCTATCTGTAGGCGGGCCCACGTGAAAGAAAGCTGAAGAAAAGTAGGGTAACAGGAACTCATTAGAAATACAGCTTTATGCAGTACTAGAAACCTAGGCTATTTTAAGTCACACATGAAATAAATCCACGGGTCTCAAGATATTTCTCCAAGGCGATTTTCCTTCTGTTGGAATTTTAATCTTTCTTTTGCTTCATGGGAAAAGGTTAGGGAAAATGTACAGCAAGGCTTGCCTTAAAATGGATCCTGCTTTCTATAATACATTTTTTTTTTTGCCTTCTCAAAGACTACTATTCACCTATATTGTTCTTTGAAAAATAAAATTCTAACTGCTGGCTCTAAACCGATTTATTGCAACAGAGTACTCTAATGGTAAATTGGCAGCATTCGGGGTCAGACTGAGTTTGAAAAAGGGTCTCTGTTTAAAAGGGGAACAGAGGGCCCGCTGGGCAAATGCCTGCACAGTATGTGGGTCAGGTTCAATCGAGTTACATCAGATGGAGTACAATTCAACCACAAATACCAGATGACACTGATGCACAACATGTTTTCAGCCATAGATGCCACACAATACACACTGTGCATTTCTCTCCTAAATCGAGATGGCTCTGTCCTGAAATGCTAAGGCGGGCGGCAAACAGTCAACACACACTTATCGCTCATTTTCATAGACCGACTGATTCTCTAAAAGTCCCATGTAACAGGAATCCCATCTATTTCAACAATCCAGTTGAACATCAGGATTGGATCAAGCCACAAAACCCAATCAAGAACTGATCACATGGATTTGCTGAGCCCCCTCATAAAACCAAATACAACCTAGCCAACTGTCAATTCACTTGGTGAAACGAATAACAAGTTTCTATTGCCTCTGAATCTACCGATTGGGTTAGAAGCCCTGATTCGAACAGCACCTAGCTCCGTGAATTCTTGCTCAGCACTGCATTCCCAGTGCCTGCACAATGCCGAGAATACAGCAGACACAAGACAGGTATTTGCCAAGTGCACACATGCGTCAGTCAACCAACAAGTGGATGAACGAGTGGGTAGGTCTACTGAATGTCGGTGTCCTTGGCTCTGCCTGTCATGTAGAACGGAGCCTATCTCACAAAGGAGGCATTAGGAAGGAAAGCTCTGAGCTATCCACTGCCAAACAAGAATCAAAGGCAACAGCTGGGGTCGGAGCTGGAGACCTGAGCAGCGCTCCTTGGTACTCCAAGAGTAGCAGCTGTGGCTCTCTCCAGAAGGGCTCTCTGTGAGGCCACTTTGGAGCTCTATTATAAAGACCTATCTTAAAGCCTTGATTGAACTTTGGGCGTGGAGGTACGACGCACAGCCAAAAGCTGGTGAATGGAAGAATCAGCAAGAAAGCTCTCCTCATCTCTCTACTGGGGGAACCATCTACTCCCACTTTGAACAAGAAATCATCTGTCACCAAAATGCCTGCAACAAACTCCAGCATGAAAGTTCACAGAGGGCAGAGCCTGGCTGCTGTCATCGCTGTGCTCCCAGCTCCCGGGACAGCACCAGCACATGGTGGATGCTACACGAAATATTTCCTGTACGAAAGGGTAAACCAAGCCCTCACCCAGCACATGATCCAGTGCTATGAGAGTATAGGCTCCCAGACCCCAGGGACTCATGGGAACCTGTGTTAGAAAAGAAGCCAAAAAAAAAAAAAAAAAAAAAAAA